GGGCAATGGCCCAGTCTGGTAGTATTCCTCTAGACGTTTCTCCACATGAGGAGAGAACTTCTTGGGTTCTGGAACATCAGAACCAAAAGTGGTACGTCGCAGAGCTTGCTGTTGATTCATAATCATCTGTCTCATCAGGTTTCCACTACCCCCCAAAGAGGACGACGACTGTTGCCTCTGTAGTGTGGTAAGAGATGTTGTGGAATGCATCGGTCTCATGGATCGCTGCGATAAGCTCTGAGGGGATGATCCGGGTTGTGATGGCATATGCAAGGGCGAGAGTTGCTGAGAAGGTGGGAGAGTACTCCTGACCACGGGTCCTGTTTGCCTGCCGTACGCAGGATCCCGAAAAGCTCCCATCTGGCCAGTCAAACCCGTAAGTTCGGTAGGTACAAATGTTGTGCCCGAAACACCCGAAATGAACGATGCGCTGTCATTTTCAGTTGGATAGCGGTTTGTGGGAACCAAGGTCGGCACCGATTGATTTCGGGGCTTCTGAGTCATTAAGTTATTCGATCGGATAAAAGCAACGAACGATGTGGCATGGTCTTCTGGCAGCAAGTCCCATATAGAGACCGGCATGGAGACAAGGAGCATTGTTGAGTGACTCTTGAAAACACCCTGAACCTTGACATATTTGGCCATAGCAGGGAAGGCGCCGAGCCATTGCTCCCATGCGTTGATATCAAGCCGCTGGTCATCCTCCAACGCCAAAGAAATCATGACATGAGGAGTATCTTCGTTGGGTTCAGTGAACATGTAGTCATTCCGTGAGACAGGCGTGGTAGAATCGGCCGCTCGGCCCGTCTCATGGGCCATCGCTGGTGTCGGTAGCAACTCAGGAGATGGCAAGTGATCGCCGCGAGACATGCGAGACATTTCAATACTTGGCGCTTTGTGGTTGGAAGTCATCATGAAATGCACAGGGGTCGATCGGGCCTCAAAGTATTTGCCATTGATGGTGATGGGTCGAGGATGTTTTAATCGAGCAAGAACCTCGGCGTGGAGCATAGCAGCGGAGAAGGCTCGGACACGCCACTCCTGAAGCACTTCAATAAGGGCATTGGTGAAAGAGTAGCGACCGGGATCAGGGGCAATGGCGTCCCAGCTCGAAGCTGAGATAGTCTCGGTGATACTGGCTCCGCTGGGAAAAGTTGCGCTTGCAGCCCCAGCACAGCAATCTAATAGAATGAGAACATCTGATAGTGAGCGTTCGAGTAGAGTCTGAATCGCAGACCATCTTTTCTCGTTAGACGTGTGGTTGTATGCGGGCTGAGGAGGGTCTTACTGAAGCCATGGCGAATTCGCCTCACGGGTACTGACAAAAGTTAGACGATACTCATGACATGCCTGCGATTAGAACTACTTACGCACACCAGGTGCTTTGCCGAGACTCGTCGATTCTGGCATGGCCACCGTAGTAGACCACGAACAATGTATCTTGGGACTCGTGATCCTTGATCAGCTGACCTATGCGCATCATCAACTCCAGATGAGAGTTCTCTGAAGGGATGGCAAATATGTCAGTATTAAAGCCATAGTCCTCACTCAAACACTTTTCAAGGTCTTCCAATTCAGGAATAACGAAGAGATCATCCGAGTTCCAGTGTAATAACAATGCTTGTACTTTGCTGTACCTGGCTGAGGACCGTCCACGATTAGGAAAAGCGCGGGCGGCGGACTGGAGAAGAGTTTAGAGATGGTTCTTGTGACGGATAATAGAGACTAACATCTTCAAGTCTTTGTGCGAATTGGCCGATGTGTTTGACATGAAAACTAGTACGGCTTGTGTCATGAGTTGCAGACCTGGCATAGTAATCTCCCCCACTAGATGCGGCCTAGGAAGTCGCATTTTTGTAAGTCACTGTCTTATGTTTGAACGAAGCAAAGGATCAGACACACCATAGGGGGGCCAGTGCTTCTTGAACCTGGACCTTCGACAGGTCTCCGCGAGCGTATGGTAACGTATGGTTGATGATCGGCCATGGCGTCCAATGCGCAACTTGTGAATGAACGTACGGCCTGTTTCGCGGACCGGCCGGAGAACTCAATCGCCTCTGTTGCAACTTGACTGCCGGCTCTTGGTTGTATCCACGCCCTTGGTCGCTGGGTTCGAGAATTGGGCAGCTCGGATGTGGTTCTTCTATGGTCTCGCCCTCAATGTGGGTGGGTATCGTGCTCTAAAGCTATAGCGTTTGTCGGCTCACTTGGAAAAAGGCATGATCGTGCGTGTCGTACAGCGTATCGTTGGTAGCATGCATGTATGTATGTATGTATGTATCTACGGCCGAGCGTTGTTTCACGGAGGCAGCAATGTGTATGTAAGAGGTAAATCTAGATTCTGTTGTGGTATTATCATCTCGACGGCAGGAGATTATGGAAACGGAAAGGGATGATCGTTGAAGCGACTTTCTTCAATTCGCGACCGAGGCGGCGTGTGGCAGACTCACCCGTCCCTTCCTCAAGTTTGAAATGGGACGAGTGTCCCGTCGGTCCCCAAATAAGCTTAGCGCCGAGTCACTGGCGGTAACCAAAGAGGAAGAGAGTACGAGGGGCAGAAGGGCTCGGGTATTGTGTGACACTAGCCAGTGCCTGATGCCCATACAATCCACGTGTACTGGGTACTTTATTGCTTCTTTCAAGAGCTTCCATTCGGCCAACCACTTCAAGCGTCGGTCACTAAAACCAACGTCACCTTTTGGGAGGAAGCATCTGCCAACCAATTCACACACCGAGCTCAACTACAAGGCGATTCACAAACAAGGCAGAAACATAAAATCTGTTTTTTTTTTCATTGGCTAGCTCGTAGCTCATCCTCCAAACGCGATCTAAGTCTACTCCAGAACTTATCGGCACGCGACAAGCTTCCTTGAAAGCTCTTAGGTCGCTCACTTCCATACTAAGCTCTTGTATACCTACCTAGTACCTAAGCAACACACGACACAACCAGGAGCAAGCATCGACTACCGCCATCATGCGTGAGCGTGTCACGTTTATCCACAACGACTATACCCTTGATCCTGAGCAGTTGGACAACCAAGAAGCTGGATTGCTTGGGCCTCAAATCGAGTCAGTCCGTCAGGATAAACTCACTATCCCCTTCGACGAGTTGCCTAGTGAGCTCACCGACATACTCCAAGAGTATGAGGCTCTTCATATCAGATGGGCTAGCCCTGTCAGATCCGAGACACTCGACCCTTTCACTTCACGAATTTCACCCGGGCTTCATGTCTATGTGACTCCGGAATCCCCAAACTCATGTAACCCGTACGTCGTGATCTCGAGTTGTGGCCACTTGAAACACTAATCCAGCATCCTAGAACAAAACTTTGCGGTTGGCTCCAGAGGTTTGGGCCACTAGCCTGTTCAAAGCCAGAGGTCAGTTCAATAAGCCATCTGACCAACGAGATGCTCACCAGTAACAGGCTTTCACCGAGTTTAAGCAACCAGCTACCTCCACAGCCCCGAACTTCTCATTCCATCAAATACTGGAAGATCTACACTCTTTCATAACCATTAGCTCCCGGGAGTTCTGCCCTGACCTGGACACTGTTTGCAATGCCCGACTACGAAGCTTGTTGACCGCGACTAGCTTAGACTTATCCTTTGATAAGTCTGCAAAGGCTCTTGTCGCTTCTGTGCTATGGCCTCTTCGACCCCAAACCGTTGCTGTTCCTGCATCGACGGAAAGAAGGGTTGAAGTTGGCATTTTCGTTAACGACCGCTCGCAACCAAACATGAAGGAGAACGAACTTGGTGTCGCTGGCGTTCTATCCGTACTTGGCGACAAGAAAAAGCCTTCGCCAACCATCTTCACTTTCCCAGCCCGACACCGTCGAGACGAATCTGTATTTACATCTAGATTTCTCACCCCCACAGGGCTTCACCCAACTCTCCAGCTCAGCTTCAGCTCTAACAAGCCTCCAAGTGACGAGGGCGAGTGTGTGCCATACGCATTCTTGACATTACCCAAGGCTATATTTGCGGATCGTTATCAACTAGGAGACGATTTGTTCCTGGCCTCCAAGAACTTGACAGCTTTGCGATACACAACCCTACCCGTGGACTTGGAAGCACCAGCATACACCACAGAGACATGGGGGTCGAGTATTCTGCTTGAGCTCGCACCACCTACCTCTGAAGAAGGGCAGCCGTGGAATGTTGAAATCCCTCTCCACCTGCGATACCTTAAGCCTTCAGTGACTGACCAAGCCGAGGCCGATGTTCCCTATCCTGCTGTCTTCTGGGCATGCTCCTCAGGGGAGGAGACGCTGGAGAACCCATTTGATCGTCTCCATATTGGCTATGACAATCTTTTCCCTCGAGACACTGCCTTCTGGCACGTCACCCCTCAGCCAGAGGGTGGGAGCAGACTTATGCACCGTGTCACCGTCCCTGTCCTTGAGCTCGAGGGCATAGATACAATCAGGTCAGGCACGGCAATTGCTGTTTTGCTAGGTTTTGCCTGGGTACTGTGGAAGCTGGTCGGTGTTATGCTAAAGTCCGAAGAACCAGTGCTCAAGAAGACAGTCCCAAAGAGGTCTAAACAAAACAAGAAAGCTTGAGGCCAAGTTACATACTGGTTTGTTTGGTCTCTGGTGCAATGGTGTAATATAGTATGTAAGAGAGATGTAGATGAGAATTCAACACTGATTAAATCAAGAGGACCAGGATTTTCCTCCCCTACTTGACTATCGGATTTTCGCTTAACTACGGTCTGAAACCCGCCTTAGCACCTACCTACCTATAGTAGGAGGGTATTCTCTATCGCCCGACGCCGACTAAACGCTGTACACGTGACGTCAGACATTCAAGATAGTTAGAACGCATTTCGACCACTGGACTAATTGATGGACTTCTTCAACTATCTCCATCTCCATCTCAAGTGACTTATCGACAACTCATAAAATTTTATTACTGTGACCCTAATTAAGTGATATAATCCAATCAAGGTTACAAGCTACCGTACCGTCCGCTCTGTGTTATCACAATGCCATTTGATGGCTCCAACACCATCATCAGACGAGTCACCCGCGTCGACGTCCGGCCCGGGCCTCACACGAGCGCCAGACTCACCGCAAAGCAAAATTAGACGAAACGTAGCCTGTATCAGTTGTCGTGACTCAAAGGTGAGTTGTCTCGACTGAGCTGAGTTGCGTATGGTCAATGCTGAATCTGGGCTAGGTGCGGTGTCGAGCGAGTCCTGTCACGGGACAGCCATGTCAACGATGCGCCAAGTTGCAGATCTCGTGTGTATACGACAGATCACACAAGAGAGTGACAAGGAGAAGGTAATAGTCTGACAACACTACTACGAAAATTACTCTTAAGTTTTCTTCTGCATCAGTGAGTGATATTGACAATATGTAGTAAACTTGAGCTTCTGGAACAAGAGCTCAAGTCCATCAAAGAAGTTGTACAGCCCAAGAGTAACGCAGACTCACCATCAGTCTCTCAGAGAAACGGAACTGTGTTTCCTACACAGCCATCTCAATTGCCTCCGGTCACAAATGGAGCCGCCTTTTCATTGTCCAGCAACCTGCAAAGCCCACAACAACCCCAGTCGTTCGTGCCATCAGCGGCGTTGCTCGAAAAGACAGAGCCTACAAAACCTCGCATGCTAGATGGTAAATTGGTGTCTGGACAGGATATTGACTGGTACTTTGAGAAGTATGACTCCCCTGGACTGATGCTAGCAGCAGTAAGACTAACAGCTTCAGGTATTTGCAATACTATCATCCCTATCTACCCATATTGAGGAAGAAAGACCCAGATGAATGCTTCGAAGCATCAACAACTCTCTTCTGGACAGTAATATCGACAGCTTGTCGTCGATATGCTAAAGATGAACAACTTGTAACCGTACTCCTCGATTCTCTTAACCGCGACGTTTGGGGCCTGCTTCAAGCCATTACATTGGACCTCGAGTCTATTCAGACTCTCTTGATAATCTGCACTTGGCCATTCCCGACCATTAGATTTGTCACCGATCCGTCGCCTAATTTTATAAGCAGTGCCCTCAACGCTTGCATGCTTCTCGGCCTGCATACTGGCCGAGGATCTCATCCAAGCTTCTTGATTGGGGGACGCCAGCACATGACATGCACAGACTATGAGGCATCCATAACGTGGGTGTTCTGTAGTATTCTCGCTCAAAGGTTTGTCTGGTCTTATAATGGCGTGTAGCCTTGATTACTGATAATGTGCAGAGTGTCTACAGGCAATGGGCATCCACCTCCTTTTCTCCAGCATAATGACACCAAGTGCAAGGATGCCATCAAAGATAGTCTTGCGCCGGAGTTGTTCACCTTTTTTGAGCTACAGAAGTTTTCAAATAGATTACACACAGCCATGTATGCCCAGATATCGGCAAGCAATGGGGTTCCTGAAACCATCGTCAAGATGTGGGAAGATGAGTTTGAGCTTCTAAGACCCCTCGTCACCCGTGTCGAAACAGGTAGGCTCCCGGTAACACCCTTAGCCAGCGTGTCATTGCTAAAAGCCTCCATTCAGACTTCTCTTGTTTCATAATGCTAGTTGCTCAACTCGAAGTCCAGGCTTACTACTATATCTCGCCCCCTGACCAGCGCCCCAATTTCACCCTCAATACTCTCCGCACATATAATACCTCACAGAATCTTATCAACACAGCCCTCACACTCGAATCAACGTGCCAACTACTTACACACAGTCCCCACTGGGTCTATCGTGCTTTAGTCGATGCCAGCTGCATCCTCCTATCCACGCTACACTCCACTGCTGCCCCGCAACATCTCTCAACCTCAGACGCTGAGGTTGTCGCTGCGCAGGTTCTATCCCTTCTAAAAACCTGCTCAGTTCGTGATAATGACCTCCCCACACGAGGTTCCATCATTCTTGAGACTTTCTGGTCTGTAAGGCATTTACTCCCTAAGTGGGACATTCCTGTTGGTGCATGGCCGGATCGTATAGGTGCTGCCACATCGTATTGGTGTCTCACGGCCTTCAAGAATGCGTTGCAGGAGGCCAGGAATATCACAGATGGTACACAAAAAGGCATTGATGCATTTCGTAAGTCTACACTCTTGGTTAGATGAATTGGGATTGCTCACATGTGCCATCTAGAACAAAGGTTCCCGGGGACCATCAACGGTGATAATGACGAGGGCAATGGCAACACTAACACAGACATCAATGGCCAAGAACACACTATGGACAATACCATCGATCCCCTCCAGGGAATTGACTGGTCCATGATCATCGATGACTTTGGCTGGATTGGAGAGGGTCCCATGTTTCTTGGGCCAGCATGATAGTCAAAGGAAGCTTCAGTTGAATAGCGACTTCCGGTCCATATCTCTACAGAGAGAGATATTATACTTCCTGCAGTGTTTACTCGGACACAAACCAAATAGATCAAGGGTGAACTATCCGCGTTCCCTCAGGACAACACCGTAGAGATTAAGTTAAAGCATGCCACATCATAGATAATGAAGATAATTTGAACTTTTGTTCCCATTTGTTTATAATCCAGTAGCTAAATACATTAAGCTTCAGTACAAACACCATAAACCCTTAACTCCGTCATGCAATCATCACATTCGTCCATGAAAACAATATCACCACTCATCAGTGCTCCTTCAATCACCAGTTTTTACATGTAAGCGCTTAGTCGTAGATGTCCTGATCCATGTCATCCAACATCTCGTCGACTGCATCATCTTCATCAACCATATCTTCATCCTCTCCAAGTTCACTGTCGGGATGGTTGGAAAGCACAACAATCTTGCCATCAATGAGCTCAACACGCGCGTATTCGCCATCGCGGATGTTGTTGCGCAGGATGAGAATAGCAAGACGATTCAGGACCTCCTTTTCGATAAGACGAGAAAGAGGTCGAGCGCCATAAGCCGGCGAGTACCCGCTGTTTCCCAGGTAATCTTTAGCTTCGTCCGACACGTCGATATGGACCTTTCGGCCATTGTCTTCGAGCCGTTTCTGGATCTCGCCAAGCCGAATATCAACAATCTTGCGAATCTCCTTGCGTGTGAGACGATTAAAGATGACAACCGAGTTGATACGGTTGAGGAACTCAGGCAAGAAGTAGTTGCGTAAAGCGGTCATGACCAACTCGCGAGTACCGGGGTCGACACGACCCTCCTTGACGCCAGGTCGAACAAGGTATTCTGCACCCAAGTTAGAGGTCATAACCACGATGCAGTTCTTGGCGTCAACGACTCTGCCTTGGCCGTCAGTAATACGCCCATCGTCCATAAGCTGGAGGAGGACAGTGAGAACTTCCTTGGCAGCCTTCTCAACCTCGTCAAAGAGCAAGATTGAGAATGGCTTGCGGCGAAGAGCCTCAGTGAGCTGACCACCAGCATCATGTCCAACGTATCCAGGAGGCGCACCAATCATGCGGCTCAGTGCATGTCTCTCCTGGTATTCAGACATATCAAAGCGGATCATTGCCTTGGCGTCGTCGAACAGGAATTCGGCCAGGGCCTTGGTCAGAAGGGTCTTACCGGTACCCGATGGACCACAGAAAAGGAAGCTCGGCGGCTGATTGGGATTACTAAGACCAGAACGCTGGAGTCGAATGGCGTTGGCGACAGATTGAACAGCTTCCTTCTGGCCAACAACGACCTTGCTGAGCACCTTTTCCATGTGGATGAGCTTCTCCTTCTCAGAGGTACGTAGGCGAGTGACTGGAATGCCAGTCCATCGAGCGACAATCTCGTTGATGTTATCTGCTGTGACGATGTCGGTTACCATGGCGCCACCAGAGTCCGTGGGGGCAGTAGCGTTAAGAGCGGCGTCGGCAGCAGCTTTGCGAGCCTCAAGCTCCTTGATGACAGCTTCTTGTTCTGGAATGGCACCATACTTGAGATCGGCGGCCTTGGCGTGCTCAGAGTTATTCATGGCATCCTCGAGGCGCTTCTCGAGATCATCTAGCTTGAGCTTGGCTTGGTGTATCTCCTCACTGCGCTTGATCTCGCTCTGATACTTCTCACGGAGAGGCTGCAACTCCTCTTCCACGTTCTTAGCATCCTTTTTAGCTTGTGCAAGACGAGTCTGGGACGCTTCATCCTTTTCCTTCTCAAGAGCCGCAATCTCGATCATAAGCTGCCTAAGCTTGCGCTCGAGGGAGTCGATAATTTCGGGCTGAGACTCGCGAGCAACACGAACTGCTGCTGCAGCCTCATCGACAAGATCGATGGCCGAGTCAGGCAGTCTTCGGGATGTAAGGTAGCGCGCAGCCAGATTAGCGGCAGCTACGAGAGCGCTGTCGAGAATAGTGACTCGGTGATGACGGTCATATCGCTCCTTGAGACCTCGGAGGATAGAGATCGTCTCAGGGATGCTGGGTTCCTTGACAATAACCTGCTGGAATCGACGCTCAAAGGCGGCATCCTTCTCAACGTACTTGCGGTATTCCGCAAGGGTAGTCGCACCGATACAGTGTAGCTGGCCACGGGCAAGCATGGGCTTGAGAAGGTTGGCAGCATCCATGCCTCCCTCACCGGACGAACCGGCGCCCATAAGAAGGTGGATTTCATCGACAAAAAGAATGATGACATCCTTTGACTCGGTGATCTCCTTCAAGACACCTTTCATTCTTTCCTCAAACTCTCCACGATACTTGCTGCCAGCGACAAGTGCACCCACGTCAAGTGAAAGGAGCTTGCATGACTTCAAGTTATCAGGAACGTCACGGTTGACAATTCTTTGTGCCAGTCCTTCGATGACTGTGGTCTTGCCTACACCGGGCTCACCGATAAGGACAGGGTTGTTCTTGGTTCGTCGAGAGAGAATTCTGACAACTCTACGAATCTCCTCCTCTCGACCAATGACGGGATCGATCTTCTTCTCGCGAGCCATTTCAGTCATATCAATGGTGAACTTGGCCAGGTTCTCATTCTCCTCTTCAGTATCAGCCGTCTTGCTGTCGACTCGCTTTGTTCCCCGAATAGCCTGTACTGCTTCTTGTACCAGTTTGGGCTTGGGAATGTTGGCTTCCTTGAGAGGTCCTTGGATGGTCGAATCCTCAGACAGTGCAGTGATGAGGTGATCCACGCCAATGTATGTATCCTTCTGTACCTTCTGCAGCTCCATGGCCTTTCTTAGCACATTGTGGAACTGAGGTGCCAAAGAGACATGCTCAGGTGGGGGGTCTTGACTTGGGAGTCGAACGAGGGTTTTCTTGAGGGCTCGATCGAAGAGTTGAGGATCGCCATGTGCTCGCTCAACGACTTGTCGGAAGAGTGTGCTTGTGGGAGGAGGACCGTTCTGTTGATCCTTTGAAGGGTCCGGGGGAGGGTCGAGCAGAGACACAGCGAGATGAACCGGTGCAAGCTGGGAGTGGCCGTATTGTTCAGCCAAGGCCATGGCATCCTCCACGGCCTTTTGGGCACGGTCTGTGAAGTCCATACGACTATTCATGATTGTAGTGTTGTAGTGAGAGTGTAAACGATGGGTATTTGAAACAAGAGAATTATTTGTGTATGTGTCAGTCGTACAGTAGTGTTGCCCAGTTATTAAAGTAGTATGTAAGAGAAGGGCGATGCCAGGTTTTCTGACTTGAGAAGATTGGGTATCGTTTGATGTTGTGGGGTATAGTTGCTTGCTGTACTTTTAATGCAGAGAAGAAAGAAAGTGATCCGGAAAACCGAGGATCAAGAGGTGAATTTATTCACGAATTAGGTGGATCTCATGGAATAATCAAGTCACTCCATGGAAGCATCTGGAGGAGGATATCGTCCGACATAAAGCATCGAGATCTTGATGGCAGGATCCAGCTAGATCAAGTAACATCAATACAAGCTCATGGAAACCTCCAGCCTAACCCATCAGCTTCTGGCAGCTTCCGGATTCTTCGACGTCATTGGAGCAAGGTCAAACCTGGAAGGTCCATACTGAAAGTTTATTGGCTATATCCTTCTTATCTTATCAGCCGATGCTGTCAGTCTGATCTGCTCATACGTTTCCGAAAAGGGTAGCTAAGGCCGTTGGATACCTGAGTTGCTGTTGCCAACTTCCAGGTGAAACGGCCAGAAAGACAAAGATCTCAATGGCGTGAGAGTCTTTTGATACCACAAAGCCAAAACACAAAGTATGGATGATACCTAGCAGCCAGGTTTGATGGTTTGACTGAAAAGGTAAATGATTGTAGATTAAAGCAGCCCCAAAATAGAAATCGACCAAATCATTCTTCCAATCTCACGTGACCCCTCGTCCGTGATTGAACCGGTGATACTGGCATTTTTTCCCCATCAGTCTCCAGTACCAAGGCCATCTCAACTTCACAGTGGGCAGCCATGAATAAGGCACCGACATCTCGACTGGGCCAATTGCCCAGCTACGTACGGATATGGGTGCGATACGGCCATTTCGGCAAGAAGAAGGATGGCAGAGGATTCCCTCCACCTGAGGGACATGGGGAGGATATCTGGGTATTCGGCCACAGAAGAACGAACCAAATTATTTACAGCTTTGATAAGACGCTAAACGTGAGTTCAATTATATAAAGTTCGTTATAAGCTGCATAGATGTGCTAACTTGATGTCGTAGGGTTTCCACGATCTTAAGCAACTTCCATTCAATGGTAAAAAGACAAAACCCGCCAAGCTTCGAAAAGACTACTGGTCTCCCTTCGCACACATCTCCTTCCCCGCCGGGCAAGGCTCCGTCGGTCGATCTGTCTTCCAAAAATTGCGCGAGTTGAAGCACCTGCACGAGGTAGCATGGGAAGATGATTTCCGATATAAGAACCCCGAAGAGTTCAGTGAAGCCGACCGTAAGCGAGTGGCCCAGCAGAAGGAGAAGGGGAACATGAACCATCGCCCCATCCGAACCAGAGAGGAGCGCGGTATTGCTCTTAACGCCCAGAAGCCAAACTCCGTTGCCGACATAGCTTCTGTTCTGAGCGGCGCTGGCCGCGGTAACAAAATCGTTCTATCAGAAGATGCCGAGGGTGTTGAGAAGAAGCTTTTGGATGTCAAGGTAAGCTGGGCAAACGACCAGGACAGAGAGTACGCCCAGAAGTGGTCTGAAAACGTTACACATGGTCTGTTCGAAAAGCCGAGCTACATTTCGAACGAGCCCGAGAAGAAAAAGGAGGGGGAGAAGGCACCGGAGCCAGTAGCTGAATGAAGAACTCGAAGAGAGGATTCAAATGAACAAAAAGCCTCAGGGGATGGCATAAAAGTTGGTTGGGCTGGCGATTGAATCTTCTACGAACATCCAGGCCTTCCTACTTCAGTCATTATTGTATGTGTTCTACCTCCATTGTACAAAATGTGTTATTTTGGAC